TTATTATCTTATGCTAAAAATGACAAATTCGTGCTCAGCGCCCTCGATTACCCCTAGAAAATTGGAAAAATGAAAAATATAGGCGGCCCCTAATCATCAAAGTACCAAACTTCTCTACATTTCTTTGCTTTAAAACTTGGCCTAGCGATCACTAGTCAGAGTCGTAATTGAGACAATACTTTATTTTAGACGTTACTTTCAAGACCCTTTCCAATGGCTAGAACAAGATGACGTGATCCAATCGCTAGCAGAGCGTGCAGCGACTTATGGTTATAAATGGGAAGGACGTATCGACATTGTGACTGTTTTTCGAAAAGGAGCATATCACAAAACGTGCACTTACCTCTATGGAGCATCTGGTGATTGGATGATTTCTGAGGAGAAGGCGTGGAGTTGGCCATGTGCATATGGACGTGAAGCTGGATGTGGAGATGTTTGTTTTGTGCATTTAACAGCTTGATATCGTTTGAATAAAGGAATACATGAAAAAGGTTCCAAGTAACGCAAGAAAACAGGAAAAAAGAAATGCGGCCTTAAAACAAAGTCCCTAAATTTTTAAACGACTTTTCAGGTAGTTGACATTTTAAAATTGAACAATAGTTGATTACATTCACATCTTTAAAATAGTTTTCTCGATTTGATTTCATTAATTCCATTTAGATTCCTTTAAAACCGAAAAATGTCTCCAAATAACCAGCAAAATCACAAAACGAGCAAGGAAAATCTTTGTGCTTCTTCTTTCGACTTCATGCCTGGTTATTTCAATAGTTCAAATAAGTCAAATGAGTAATTTCTGGTGATTTTAAGTATCTGTGAGATTTGAAAGAAAGTTCTTGGAAAAAGTTTGACTGCAATTTCTTGAAACACCAATTCATGAACATTTTCTTCTATTATTTACAAGTCGACTCCAAGAAATTACTCGTAAAAAAATGAGTGCAGCTTTCCCATAAAATTTTAGAGATTTTGCAAAAATTATTATTTTCCAGTTTAAATTCAGCTCACTTTTTGCAGCAGAAAAAAGATTCCTTATCAGGTAAAGCTAGCATAAATGAGGAATACGTTCTATAATCTCTATTTTTAGGCAAAAAATTTTAACAGAGAAGCTTTTTCAAAAAAAATAATTTGGGTGTCAGCTTCTTGGCACCGGGTTTTATAGGTGATTCTGAAAAGTGCAAGAATTTGATCAGATTGGCCTTAATCACAAATTTTCCTGATTTTAAGTACTTCATTTTAGGTTTTGAATGGAACCCATTGCCTATTCATTAACCCATTAAAAACTTGTCCAAAGGCTGGTCACTCAAAAAGTGACCAAATCACCTCAGCTGAAGAAAACTCTTATTTTTTACCTGAAGCCCACTATGATTTTTTTGTTTAAAAACTTTTGAAATATCGTCAAGTTTATCAAGAAATCTGGGAAGAAATTATGGGTTGGTTTTTGAGAAATCACTGTGCAACCTTTTCCTAGAACTTTCTTTCCAACCCAATAGCACTTCGTTTGATGTACTGGAGTAACTTTTAGGTTGTCCGGAATGAAAATACCCTTTTAATGAAAAACAAATTTATCTCCACAAAAAGAAAATCATGCGCTTTAATCCAAAAGATATTCTCCGTTGTTGGCAATAGTCTTTCTCCATTTTTCTTTCAAATCTCGGATCTCTTTGCTGAAGAAGTACTGAGGCTGTAAGTCGAAGTGTTGGCCTACCCAAAGTCGGACTTGGATTCATGTTTCGCTTACCGACTAACGAGGCCGATGGCTCACGATCAACGCGAAAAGGGTTCTTTTCCGTTATACAACCGCCAAATTTGCATCCTTCCATGAAAATGAACAAGGAAAACCACGGAAAATAATTTTTTCACTATTTTCTAAGGGCGCGGTGGATTCATGTTTCGCTTCCCGACTACCGAGACCAATGCAATCTCGTTCTTTCAACAACGCCACATCTTGCTTATTACTCGCACATGCGCCAACCATCACGTTATGAAGCTATTGCTCAATCAGAACCCCCAACGCAGATGCGACAAAACGTCCTGCTGGACAGCGATCGACCTGCGTGTTGGCTCGTGGGTGGAGAGCACCAAAATCCCGTTTCTCACAACCCTACCATTATGGTTGGACTCAACAGTGGACCTCGATCAACTATTGTGCGAAAGAATTGGAGATGAATCACCGCGGTCGACTTCAACAACTAGGATTCTTTGCGTGGAATATCTGGTGAACAATCTGAGAGGAAAAATTGGAGAAACCAATGGAATCGTTGAAGTTGACGAGGCTCAAAACCTTAAAGCCATAAAACATATTGGGTTGGGGAGAATGAGTCGGCGCCGAAATTTAAAGAAACTTTTTGCACCCATAAAACCTTCTTTAAATACACGTTTTGTTTCATCAAAATGGTCCACTATTTCTTTACAAAATGGCTTTTGAGGGATTCCACAAAGCTTTTCTTTTTTGGGATTTTATGGATTCCCAAACACAGCTAATCAAAATGACAAAAAGTCCGACTCATTGCTTGAACAGTTTCTTCCACATAAACCTCCTTTGGTGTTTATATAAAAAAGATAGAGCACACTCAATTACATAAGTTACCAAATTTTCAGGAAGATCCCTCCAACCGTTTACTCTAGATGACAGTTTATCGATTTTGTGAAAAAATGATCCTTTGTTGAGTTGAGGCGCTGTTTGAGTTTTCTTTTAAATATTATTTTGTAGAGAATTAGTTACCCTTCTACGGATATCATATCATTTGACAAAGTCTGCTATAAGTTTTAGAAATTTCTTTGATTTTCGGCGCCGACTCATTCTCCCCAACCCAATATTTCAACATATCTCCGTTTTTTGAAAATTTGGTAAACTCTTGGACTTTGTAAACTAGATGGAAAAGGGTATCCAAAAGGTCAGTTTGTTTTTTAACTTACCCTATAGAGCAATGATATTGTTTGCTAAATTAGTGGAAGTTGGCACTGGTTCAAGACTTTTGCACGACGCTATAAAAGCAAAATTTGCCGTTTCTATTCGTTTCGAAGCGCATTTTCGAAGCAGTTAATTGGTCATAGGATTCACAATTTAACAATAATGGTTTCTGATTCCAAAATACTTTTTTAGCAAAAGTTGAGAAATGGCTAGATTGTTTGTGCAAAAGAACAATCAAATGTATTCGAATCTAAATTAAGTATACCGAGACCTCGTCGGAAGTTAAAATGCATTGTTAAAGCTATATTAGTTACATTGCTCATAATTCATTGGGCCATGACCATACAGGGTGACAACAAATGGGCTGAAATTTGGTGTCGATTCATTCCAAGAAGGTGTCGTTTCATTCATTAGATTCATGTGTCTATGTTATAGTGCTTTGATGTGTTTTCTTTGAAAACTTCTGTAAAACTATGGTTTTTAAACGTTCAGTTATCAAACTTCAATTTGAACTTCAGTTATCAAACTTCCTTCTTGGTTGGGCAAGTTCAAGTGAGATCACTTATTTGCCACGGCAGCCGAGTATCTGTTTTAAACTAACAAACAGATCAAGAAGACTAACTCTTGAAGAAAAGAGTAAACTATATAAAACTTATAAAAACAATTTTACTCGAATTGATTCTTCGTTTTGAAAAGATTTGATTACACTTTTTCTTTTTACTTTTAACACTTTTCTGTAAAAGACAATAAATTTATCAAGGATACTTGAAGAGTCGTAAAAGTTGGTGATAAGAAGAGCTTAAGGAGCAGAGTAATTCAATTTCATTTTATTGTTTCTCAGTTTTTGGAGATTCTCCAATCGACTGTACGAAGCTTGATGAAAGACTACTTTCTAGCATTTTTTTGGGTTATTAATTTTGAATGTTGATTCTTTTAAATGCCCTCCTGAAAGCTTTCAAATACCGAATGAGGATGTGTGCATGTATCTGAGCAATGAAAGTGGGTTGAAAAGATTATTCAAATTGTGTTTTGAATGCTAGTAGGACGGTCAAAACTGATCGGGGCATGGTTTTTAGAATATTATGTTTTCAAGTTTTGAGGATATGTGTTCCTTAATTGTTTCATTGAAAAAAAGTGTCGATTATTATTGCAAATCAACTTCGCAAATGTTCTTTTTAAAAATTCCAGAGCTTTTGTATAAAAAGCATGCAATATTGAATTTTTCAAAAATATTCCTTTTGAAACTTCGCCTATTCGTAACAATTGGTTTTAAAGCACAAGAATTAAAGTGCGGAAACTAGTCTTGAAACAGAATAGTAAAGGGTGGTTGAAATGGTTTGATGGCATTCTTCTTCATTCTTTTTCATGTCTTTAAAAACCAGCTATTCAGCAAAATCTTCTATTTATTCAGAAAGCGCAAGTATTTTTATCAAACACGTTAAATATTCAGCCCTATCCAATCAGTTTTGACATTTTTCCACTGTTTAACTCTGAGGATAAGCAAAGAAGACGGCCAGAGGTGCATTGAGCAAAAAACAATATATACCAATACCGCACCGGGATAGGTATTCCTGTTGAGAAACACCTGTTTTCAGCCGAGTTCTACGTCGACGAGGTTCGTCGTTGTGCAGCTTTGGGAGGAATTCCCGCCAAGATTCTCAACGTTTTCGAGGGTGCCTATGTCTTTGCAGTAATTCCACAGAGTAGAATATAATGTTGAAAAACTCGATTAACTGTTGTAATAGATGTAATAGAATCGCGTGATTGAGTGGTCGCCATTTCGACTAGCCGACTTTGCGGCTCTGAAAAAACTCAAAAACCAAACATTTTCATAATAATTCAACGTTCTTTTGTGGAGAAAGAGTTATCGTTTCAAACTGTAACACTGTAAAACTGTAAAAACTATAAAGAAATAAACTGTATGCTAATTGGTGCATTCATCTTTTCTAGACGGGAATATACAAAAAGGCGAAAAGACGTTCTTACCAGCCTAATAAAAATGTTTTCGGTGACATTTAAAAGTTTATTTACATTTATTTGCATTTACATTATTTGCATTTACAATGTTTGCATAGGGTTTTTGCAGAACTCAACTTCTCGGCAGAGCGGCCACAATTCCAGCCTCAAAGCCGCACTCGTTGTTTCCGCGAAGGATTCGGAAGAGTCCCTGATCGCCCCAGCCGGTTCCCCATGAGTTCACCACTAGCCAATATGGGACTTGACCCTAAAATAAGTGATGTATCTGATGCTCTTTTATAATGTATTTATGATTCTAATCTATGATAGGGTTATTGAGCTTTAAACAACTTGAACAACTCACCTCAACTCCCCATCCAATAATCTTCACCGCATGCCCGCCAACTTGCTGACCCCAAGTGTGCTAAAGTCGAAGATTTGAATTTGAATTTGAAGTTATAGTTTCAAAGAGAATATCTAACATTTAATAGCTTACATGATAGATTCTCTTTCCAACATAATAAAAATCCTGAAAAAGCCTGAAGGCGGCTTCCACAGGTCCATGTGCAAGGATCTCTCGTTGAATCGTTGTCACATCTCCAGGCACATAATAGGCTTTCTCGGCAAAGTATTTATCCTGTGTGTAGTTTCTCGGATAGCTTTGTTGACATTGTTGTTGACATCTTGGAGCGGATCGAATGGAACAACCCGGGCATGGACGGATCGAGTATGGACGACAACCCTGGTGATCGGTGTACTCGGTGCCGGTGACGATCCCGTTCGTCTTCCACCTGAATCAACATCGTTGACTGAAAGCTATTGTAAATTGTAAAGTTTATCAATTCACGCATGTAAAGCTTACCAATTCATCGCCGCAAATGGATAACCACCCTGACAGGCCTCCTGTTGATAGCACTGACGGCCACAACATGAGAGAATATCTTCAGATGAGAGCATCATAGAGTAGTACGGTGGATTGATGCACATTCGATCCGAGGCCACCTATACATTCATTTTAATGTGCTAGTTGGACGTGAGTGTCTGAGAGTGTATGTCGTAGCCGAAAAGGTTTCAAACCTCTGGTCAATATGGTTTGAAAACTCTTCGGCTAGTCGAGAAAACTCAAACCTTTTCGGCTATGACAACTACAAAGAAATGTCGGCGCGGGGGCTCGAACCCGCGACTTTTCGCTTTCCAGCCAATTGCGCCACCCACTGCGCCACACCGACATTCATCCTATTGCCTTGTACTTTGCTAGCTTTGTGCATAGCTTTTATCCTGTTTCAAAACCTATTATCAAAACATATTAGCTTTACCTCAGCCGCCGCCACAGCCCAACAAGAGCCACAATTTGATTGATCTCGAATCCACCCAATTGAATTACATTTCGGCCATTTCTGTCGAGCATCGAAGAATTCGGGAATCTCCTCTTTAAGGAGCATTTTGAAGAGTTTTGGCTCAAGAGTCGGTGCGCCCTCGGGAATCTGAAAAGCACAATAAAGATACGTTCAACCATTAAAAGACCTTTGGATAGTCGGTAAAGCTTAGATCAAAAGATTTTTCCGGTACCAAATCATGATCAAACATTTATGCCCTTAAAAAACATTAAAGACAAACTACTTTTGGGCTACCAAAAAAGGTCTCCTTTTTAAGTTTGTTTTTTTCACAAACCTGAATGTATTTCACATCCATGACACCGTATCGCTGCACTTCGGATGAATTCAAAATTTCCGGCTTTGGCACCCATAGTTGTTTGTTTTTGCTCACAAAATCGAGCAACTCTTGTCCAGAGAGCTCTTTTGATTTCACAGACACCATAAAAAGAAGAAAGAAAAGTAAAGCTATCTGAAAAAGACTTTAAAAAATTACAGTCCAAAAGAATCTACCATTTTCGAATCGTCAGCTGACTGAACTGTTGTCTTTCGTGGTTTTCCGTACTCCTTAAGTAGCCCGATTCAACATTTTCTTACAAAAGATTGGAGCCCGTGAGTGAGACTCCAAAAATAAACTCACTACCAGAGAGATCCACGTTGATCTTGATGTACATTGTGTTTCTTTAGAAAATCACATGAAATTTGAAAAAAAACTCGATTTTGTTTGATCAAAAACAGCTGAGTGAGACACATTCGTTGAAAATGACGCGAGTCAAGGTCAATCTTATTCTTTTGTGTCAGTTAAATCGCAACGAAAAAGCAAAGAATTGTTCATGTTGAATCATAATAAGGTGACTTAATTAGTAAAACAATAAATGAAAAAGCACATATACATGTACCTTGTGTATTACAAGCGACCGTAATGTAAGCTTTTTTGTGTCAGTTAAATGCTCAAGCATGTCAAAAGACGGTCCGGACGGTGAAAAATGGAAAACCGAAGAGCCAAAAAAATTTAAAAAGCCCCGGTAAAAAAGAAAATGAAGGGGAGTGGGACAAATGCGACCTTTTTTTTTGCGCACCCGGACATTTGCGCACCTTTTTTTCCGCACCTTGCCCATTAGCGCACCTTTTTTCGCGTTTTAAGAAAGCTCTAAAAAGCTAATATTAACCAATTTCTATTCCAAAAGTTGTTTTTCTAGGTAATTTTAGGGCGTAGAATCGAAATTTTGACATATCAGAGCTTGTGAAAATAAACGGACGGAGTTATACAAAGAGAAAAATCGACAATTTTCTGTAATTTGATCTAGCCGTTTTGTCTTTCAAATTGGTTCCACACGCTCTGTTATGTCAAAATTTGAATTCGACACCCTCAAATTACCTAGAAAAACAACATTTGGAATAGAAATTGGTTAATATTAGCTTTTTAGAGCTTTTTTTAGAGCTTTTAGAGCTTAAAACGCGAAAAAAGGAGCGCTAATGGGCAAGGTGCGGAAAAAAAGGTGCGCAAAAAAAAGGTCGCATTTGTCCCACTCCCAAATGAAGCATGCCAATAGGATTTAGCATGTAGATTTAAGCATTCTCTAAAGCGCACCTTTTCCTTTTGTTGAAAAAGTATTCAGTTAATCAAATCATTGTTTTTAAAAACCATAAGCATTCTGGATTTTAATAGTTTTTAGTTCATTTCACGCGCACAGTGCGGAGTTTTATTTTTGAGATTTCTTTTACTGATTTAATAATGATAAGTTAGACTTAATACTTGTTTACTTATTTAATAGTTACTTATTTAAGTTAAGTTAGATTTGCTTATTAGCTTCATTAGCATTAGTCTGCTATCTTTATAATTATTTTTAAACTTTATATTTCATTAGTGTTGTTTTAATTTCATTTGCTTTAAAGTCAAATGTTTTTTCAGGCAATCATCAGGCTAGTCGTTGTCGATTTCGGTACAAAGGGTGAAACGTCCTTCAAAAAATGTGCTTCAGATGAATTCAAGACGAGGATTGCCAAAATTACAAGTTCTGGGTAAGTTTTTAAAGTTTTATTTGTGCTTTTAGTACGAAATACAATGTTCAACAAATTGTCAGCGTGATGCCTTCAAGACAAACAATTAAATTGACTGCCGAATTACGTACGATGGAGATTAGCAAAAAGTATGAAGCAGAGGTTGAGTTTTAAAACCTTTTAGAAAATAACAGCTTTAATTTTAGATTTTAAAAACTGCTGAAGAAAAAAGATGACAGATTTTAGATCATACATCTCCGATGACTGACTACATCTCCGTTTTTAGTACCTTTACGACTAACGACCCATAACTTCGTGTGATTCCAATGGCAATTAAAACAACTTTTAAACCAGGCGATGCTCAGAAGGTAGATTGTTTTTTCAAAACAATTTGAACTGAAATTTAAACGTTTGAAATTGTTGTTTTGTATTGGTGAAAAGTTGAACAGAGAACTCTTGGCGAATTCAATTTTGGTTGCGGACGGTGCTTCCAATTTTTATAGCGATGGAAAAAAACTACATGAAAACTTATTGGTTTTATTTGGTTATACTATAAATGAAGAACTGCTTTAGATATTCGATGCGTCAACTGCGGTCTCAATTTGATTGGTAAACAGGCAACCAGCCCATACAAAATCAACAGAACAAAGATCATTTATGGTTTGATCTGAAAGAGCAAGATCTTCTGAAACAGATCGAAGAATCAGTCAATACTTGTCATGAGTTATTCCTTTACATTCAGTCTAAAGCGGTATTTATATTTCCTTTTCTCAAATCTTTAATCTTTTCTCAAATCAAATTCTTGATCAAAGAGATCGGTTTTTATACTGCGTTTGGTATCCTTGGATATTGGATCCAATCGGTTCCACCCATGTTTTTTTATCCAATAGCTGTCCTCGAGTAGTATCAACAAAAACAGGGATCTCAACAAAAACATGAGAGAGCTCTGACTTTCATTCTAAAATCAAGGACACTTCCACTATTCCAAATATATTTCCCATTTGGGTCAATTTTCCAATCATTTAACATTGATGAATATATTTATGACTGGTTGTCACCAAGTTTACGAGTGAAGCCAGATAATAAAACCCTGGGTTGCATAATACATGAAAGCGTGGGAAACTTTTTATGGCAATTCGGATGAGGCAAAGATGATATAACAACAGAGTTTTGACAACAAATCCACGTTTCAGCGGGTAAAGATATCAGATCTGTATCAGCAAGAAAGTGTGGGAATCAATAACCCCCTATCAACCCTACCTAATGATTTAAAAAGTCGACAATTCTCTTAACAACCGATCCATTTCTGCTACAGAGAGTGAATCGAAATCTACGAAATGAGGTGCTTTCGAATAGATCATTTCCGAAGAAAATCGAGTGAGTGAATGCATTTTTAAACACACGTGGTTGGATTGGGAAACGATTTCTGCCGAACGGCCAACCGTTGAGCAAATCGAGGAACAAATGACGTTTATGTGTGTCGATTTCTGGCCAATCGGTGACCCATTTTGGACTAGGCGATGAGCAGATTGGAATCGACAAAATTGCCTTCCCGAAACGCTTCGAAAAACAACTTTTCAAAGTGCTCTCGAAAATCGAATCCTCTCGAGTTTTTCGCTGTCGAGTGCGAACCGGAGGTTTTGAGTCAAAATTTTTGAAAATTAAATTATAGGTGTTCTTTAACAGTTCCTAGTAAACGGTTATGAATACTTATCAATAAAAAATCTAATTTTGGCTTAAAAGTAAAAGCAAAAGTACGTTAGGGTCAGGATCGGCCCTGGCTTTTTTCAACCCTGTTTACAATGGTTTGAAAAACTTATTTAAATTTCTTTGCCTTAAAGCTGGAGCTGTCAATCACTAGTTAGAGTCAGCATTGAGATAATACTTTATTTTAGTCGTTACTTTCAAGACATTTTGAAATCGATACGACGTCACGACAGGATCCAAACGCTAGCGGAGCGTGCGACTTGTGGTGATAAATGGGAAGGAAGTATCAACCTTTTGACTGTTTTTCGAAAAGGAGCAAATCACAAAACGTGCACTTATGTAGCATCTAGTGATTGGATGATTATTAAGGTGAACATGTGGAGTTACCCATATGCGGATGCATGTGGAGATGTTTGTGTTGTGCATTTAACGGCTTGATATCGTTTGAATAAAGGAATCCATGAAAAAGATTCCAAGTAGCGCAAGAAAACAGAAAGAAGAAATACGACCTTAAAACAAAGTCACTAAATTTTAAAATGACTTTTCATGTAGTTGACATTTTAAAATTGAACAATAGTTGATTACATTCACATCTTTAAGATAGTTTTCTCGATTTGATTGCATTAATTCCACTCAACATCCTTTAAAACTTAAAAATGTTTCCAAATAACCAGCAAAATCACAAAACCAGAAATGAAATTCTTTGTGCTTCTTCTTTTGACTTCATGCCTGGTTTTTGGCGATTTTAAGTATCTATTAGGTTTGAAAGAAAGTTCTGGAAAAAGTTTGACTGCAATTTCTTGAAAACCAATCCACCAATTTAGCCAAAAAATTTTAACAGAGAAGCTTTTTCAAAAAATAATTTGGGTGCCACCTTCTTGGCACTGAGTGTTATAGGTGATTCTGAAAAGTGCAAGAATTTGATCAAACTGGCCTTAATCACAAATTTTCCCTATTTTAAGTACTTCATTTTAGGTTTTGAAATGGAACCCATTGCCTATTCATTAACCTATTATAAACTTGTCTAAAGGCTGGTCAATCAAAAAGTGATCAAATCACTTCAGCTGAAGAAATCTCTTATTTTTTACCTGAAACCCACCCTGCTTTTTATCGGTTGGTTTTTAAGAAATTCCTGTCCAACTTTTTCCAAGAACTTTCTTTCCAACCTAATAATTTGGAAAGGGACCTTTATCAGGCTAGAACTATAAAGAAAGAAAAATATATAGAAAACAAATTTGCTTTTTAGTTGTAAATGAAGAAAGCATTCGTTTTCTTGTTTGTGGCTTCAATGGCACAAATTGTGACAGCAAATGATGGTGAGTTTGTTTCGATCGATTACTTTGTTCTTTTTTTTGGAGGGGCCCTTTATCAGGCTAGAACCGCAAAGCTTTGTGTTAGCCCACCTAGGTATTTGCTTAATTCAAAAGCTTAGCTCAAAATCTAGGGGTTTGATCTTATTGTTGAATAAAGTATTTATTTTTAAAGCAAAAATATGGCAACTCAGATAGAGTTTGTACTGCAGTTTGTCGTTTGTCAAAATTTTTCTTCGCGTTTTTCCATTAAATTATTTTGAGCCAAATATTATCAGGAAAAAAGGAAAAAAATGTTTTTTGAATCGAATCATTGTCACAACATAGACCTTTCAATCAGAAAATAGAAATTTGATGAGCAAATGAAGTCGTCAAATCAAATTCCAAAGTCTTAGTATTTATTTCAACAACTGCTCGTTTTTAAACTAAACTTTCTCTTTTTACAATTCACATTTTAAAAAATTGGCTTTTTAGTTGTAAATGAAGAAAGAATTTGTTTTCTTGCTTGTGGCTTCACTGGCACAAATTGTGACAGCAAATGATGGTCAGTTTGTTTCGATCGATTACTTTGTTCTTTTTTTTGTTACCCAACTCGTCTACTAGCTATTTTTTAGAATGGATGGAAGAGTGCAAGAACCAGAGTGCAAACATTCAAATTCATTCGGCTGATGGCAACTGGAAAAACTTTTCGAGCGATGAGACGTCTAAGTAAGCGTGTTTCGTGAAAACTTTCCCTGGCTCGGCCCGGTGAAAAGCTTGATGAGATCGGACTCGATCAAGGCTTGCCCGCAGCTATGGTCCGGCCCTTGGCTCAAGGCTTTTTGGTCGCTAGAGATAACCCTTCTCATTTTATCTTCATCAATCAATTACAGTAAATATTTTTGGATCGATCGAACGTTCACGTGCACTGCTGATCCAGACCATTTCGCGCTTGTTCGAGTGGGAGTTTCTTTTTCAGTTTATCCTCAAAAATGTTCTTCAGATCAACCACAAGATGGATTTTCCGTCAGACACAAAAACTATCACTTGTGGATCGCGGCGTAAATGGGTGTACAAGGATGAAGTCGTTCTCAATGTTGGATGCTACACAGGTACACGGGTGAGTTTTTACGTATAGTTAAAGGTACTGCGGCAAAGAAAGTTGCTAGTAAATCCACGAGAAGCAGCAGGGACAAGAAGCTTTTAGGCAGATTGGATCCAAGAGTCCGAAGAAGAGGAAAGGATTCGAAAATGGATGGCCGAGAATCACGGAGTTAAAGAGAATCAAAAGGATTGGACGTGGGGCAGCACCCAGTATGACCAACAAAAGAAAATGCAGCGAATGGCTTCGGAAATCCAAAATCTTTTGATTAACACCGATAATATGTAAGTTTTAGCTCACGATCAACGCGAAAAGGGTTCTTTTCCGTTATACATCCGCCAAATTTGCATCCTTCCATGAAAATGAACAACGAAAACCACAGAAAATCATTTTTCTCTGTTTTCTAAGGAATCAGGTTTCGCTTACCGACTACGGAAGCTGATGCAATCTCGTTCTTTCAACAACGCCGCATCTTGCTTATTACTTGCACATGCGCCAACCATCACGTTATGAAGCTATTGCTCAATCAGAACCCCCAATGCGGATATGACAAAACGTCGTGCTGGACAGCGATCGACCTGCGTGTTGGCTCATGGATGGAGAGCACCAAAATCCCGTTTCTCACAACCCTACCATTATGGTTGGACTCAACACCTCGATCCTCGATCAACTATTGTGCGAAAGAATTGGAGATGAATCACAGAACCGAGGTCGACTTCAACAACTAGGATTCCTTGCGTGGAATATCTGGTGAACAAGCTGAGAGGAAAAATTGGAGAACCCAATCAAATCGTCGAAGTGGACTAGGCTCTCTTCTCGAAGCGAAAGGCGAATGTGAGCAAAATCTGGTCGAATCTTGCCGGGAAACCAAGGAATGTTTTCTGGTCGAGGTGACCGACCCTATTGGAAGCGAGGATTGAGCACATCGAGCCCGAAACCTAAATTGATTCCGATTATTGGAGAGGATGCAATACTGAACAGATGGAGGAGTCTTTAGTGGCTCGAGGCTTTACCCACGCTCAGGTCAATAAGTACAACTTTCTGAATCCGGATAACCCTGCCATTCACACGCAGACGGTCTGGCGTCTATGGGGAAAATGGAGAAACAAGAACCATTGCGGCTCGTCATTTCCTATCGAACTACCTCGCTGAATTCATGGTTCGTCGAGAAGTGGGAAAGGACGATTTCTACGAATGGGTGTGGCAACAAATTGCTACGGCATAGATTCCTCATTGATTGATGATCAGGGGTTATTTTGTGGATGTATAACGGAAAGGAACCGTGAAAGGTTTCTGAATAAAACTTTGACTTGCAATGTAATTTTCAGAATTAGAAAGCAAGTCGCCGTTCTACCGGCAGACTATGCGAATGCTTATCGGGAAGGGAAGGTTTTCTCAGAAAACAACTACTACATGAGAACGGGTTCCGTTGGCTTTGGAGACGATAACTCTGAGCTGAAATTTGAGAATTATGTGATATTTGTGTTTCGTGGTGGCTTTCCGGAGAGATCAAAGCCTGATGCAAGAGAAGGATTCAGGTCAGACCAGGATTAGGCTTTACTTATTAGGCTAGCTAAGAAGTAATGGCGGATTTGCTGGGAGCTGGCCTGAAACCAAACCACTCTTTGATCTTATTCAAAAGCTGTATTCAAGAGGAACAGAGTAGCGAAGAACATGCGTTGGTTGCGTTGGTTTTCGATGCGTTGGTTTTCGATGCGTTGGTTTTCGATGCGTTGGTTTTCGAATTTTTATAAGCATTTAAATGGCGCTTAGTCAGCTTGGTACCCAAAAAAGTGTCAAAATCACATTTCAGGATCATTAAATTTTAGCTAGGGCTTGGCGATTCCTTGATCCGAGGGTCGAGGGGTCGACTGCCAACTGTGACCAAATTTTCAACTTTTTTTTGCAAAAAGACCTAGCAAGAAGGTGCCACAAAATGGCCGTAGCAGATTTTGAGGCCGTTGAAATGCAAACGCCAAGCGGACACGGTCAATCCGATGCTGTATTCGGTTTTTATCCATATTCGAAAACACAACCATCCAAAAAGGCATCCAAAATTTGGTTGTCTACTCGGGGGAAATCGTGTCGAGCGAAAAAACATGTTTTTAGCCTGGGATTTTAACCAAGAAATTGACGAATGGTGATTTTGGCGCTTCTTTCGGTCTGATCGAGCTCACTTAAATGATTCTAAAAATTTTAAATCGAACCAATCAAAAAATGGTTTTCGGAACTGAGTTCCAATTGAATACAGCTTTCGAATAAGTCGAAACGTGTTAAGATTGATTTAGTTTGAGACCATCTGTTAGTCAATCCGTCATTACTTGCTAGCCAGCTTAATATATGGGCTAGCTTGTTATAATGAAGGTCGGGCCGCAAACCCAAATACTTTTGAAAAATGCAATTATAGGTGTTTTTGAACCGTTCCTAGTGAACGGTTACGAAAATGAAAGAAAATGAAAAATGTAAGTTTGACTTAGAAGTAAAATCAAAAGCCCGTTAGAATCAGGCCGGGATCGCGCCTGGCTTTTTACAACCCTGTTAAGAATGGTTTGAGAAACTTCTGGTGTTTTGGTGGTTGGCGGGCCACCTATATTTTTGATTTCTTCACTTTTCTTCGGGTAATCGAGGGCGCTGAGCACGAATTTGACAGTTTCAGAATAGGTTCTCAATCGAAAAGCCGACATTTCGACACGTTGAAATCTACACTTCTCTTGCGCTTTAAATGCAACTTTAAATTCGTGTACTCAAGCTATCGACTATTCGGGCACTTCTCAAGGTCAAAACTAGACCCAAAATCATTTTTAACCGCTAAATATTCATTTTGTAACTTAAATTGACTGATAGAGAGGCAAAAAAATTGAAAAATTATTTTTTGCGATTTTGTCTCATGTGGGGGACCAAATGGTCGAAACTTTTTTTATTTCGTTTCAATTTGAATTTGAAAGCAGAAACGTAATTAGTAGGTTAAATTATACACTTTGGCGCCGCAAAACTGGACTTAAACTCATTTTCGCAAGTTCTCGTTGTTTTTGAGTGGATTTGGATTTGAAAGTGGGTTTGAAAACAAAAAAGTGCCCCCCTTCCCAACCTGAATAGCGCCTAGAAGCGTAATTTTAAACGTGTCGAAATGTTGGTTTTTCAGTTTTCAGCTTTCAGCAGTTTTCAGCCCAATTTTTGTTTTATTAAAAAGTTCATGATACCTGATAAATTGTTAAATCCATCTTTTTGTAATGTTAAAATTAGAGATAATAAGCTCTTTCAATCTTTTAACCGTTTGCAAATTGCTCGGATTTGGACCAAGATATACAAAGAACAAACTTTTAAAAACCAATGTCAAAAGACTTTTGTCCATGACTGTAACTCATTTCGCCAAGCTCTCCTTGTGTTTTTCGGAATCTACGCATAAAGCTACCCGAGATAAAGTGGTTTTGAAAAACAAAAAAGTGCCCTCCTTCCCAACCTGAATAGCGCCTAGAAGCGTCATGTTCAACGCGTCGAAATGTTGGTTTTTCAGTTGAAATGCTAAAAATTTATGTTTATTAGTTTATTATCTTATGCTAAAAAATGTCAAATTCGTGCTCAGCGCCGTCGATTACCCCTAGAAAATTGGAAAACTTATTTAAATTTCTTTGCCTGAAAACTGGAGCTGTCAAGCACTAGTCAGAGTCAGAATTGAGACCATCCATTATTTTAGTCGTTACTTTCAAGCCCCTTTCCAATGGCGCGACCGTCACGACGGGATCCAATCGCTAGCAGAGCGTGCAGCGACTTATGGTGATCAATGGAAAGGACGTGTCGACATTGTGACTGTTTTTCGAAAAGGAGCAATTCACAAAACGTGCACTTATCTCTATGGAGCATCTGGTGATTGGATGATTTCTGAGGTGAAGACGTGGAGTCGGCCATGTGCCGTTGGATGTGGAGATGTTTGTGTTGTGCATTTAACGGCTTGATATCGTTTGAATAAATGAATTCATTCCAAGTAACGCAAGAAAACAGGAAAAAAAGAAATGTGGCCTTAAAACAAAGTTTCTAAGTTTTAAGATGACTTTTCATGTAGTTGACATTTTAAAATCGAACAATAGTTGATTACATTCACATCTTTAAAAAGGTTTCCCGATTTGATTTCATTAATTCCATTCTAAAATAGGTGAAAAGTTTGACTGCAATTTCTTGAAAACGAATTTACACATTCAAGAACATTTTCTTCTATTATGTATAAGTCGACTCCAAGAAATTACTCATAAAAAAATGAGTGCCGCTTTCCCATGAAATTTTAGAGATTTTGCAAAGATGCTTATTTTCCAGTTTAAATTCAGCTCACTTTTTGCAGCAGAAAAACGATTCCTTATGAGGTAAAGCTAGCATAAAAGAGCAATACGCTCTATAATCTCTATTTTTAGCCAAAAAATTTTAGCAGAGAAGCTTTTTCAAAAATAATTTGGGTGCCACCTTCTTGGCACTGAGTGTTATAGGTGATTCTGAAAAGTGCAAGAATTTGATCAAACTGGCCTTAATCACAAATTTTCCCTATTTTAAGTACTTCATTTTAGGTTTTGAAATGGAACCCATTGCCTATTCATTACCCCTTCAAAACTTGTCTAAAGGCTGGTCACTCCAAAACTGACCAAATCACTTCAGCTGAAGAAATCTCTTATTTTTTACCTGAAACCCACTCTGATTTTTTTATTAAAAACTTTTTGAAATATGGACAAATTTATCAAATAATCTGGGAAGAGTTTATGGGTTGGTTTTTGAGAAATCACTGTGCAAACTTTTTCCGAGAACTTTCTTTCCAACCTAATAATTCGGAAGGGATCTTTATCAGGTTAGAACCGCAACGCTTTGTGTTACCCCACTTAGGTAACTGCTTAATTCAAAAGCTTAGCTCAAAATCTAGGTGTTTGATATTTTTGATATTTTTGAATAAAGTGTTGATATTTAAAAACAAAAATATGGCAACTCAGATACAGTTTGTCGTAAGAGCGCTAGAATTTCTCTTTGAAAGCCGTAAAATAGTCAACAACTCGGCTCGCTGGGGTGCACTACTATTAGAGAAAATACGATAATTAAAAACTTACCTTATTTCCTGTTCATCATCGTAGTCTTTACTAAACATTGAGACAAATGGAGTGCTTCGGATTCCATAGTGGCATCTTCTATCTTTCATGAATTATTGTAAACCTGCATTTCGGCACTTTATTTCTGAATAAAGTATTCCATAGAGAAACAAAAATATGGCTGCTCAGATACTTCACTAGTACTGCATTTGATCGTAAAAGCCCTGAAATGTGTCTTCTCTTTCTTCCATTAACTTCTTTTGAGCGATTTATTAAATGGGGAAAAGAAAAAATGTACGCTTCTATCAAAAAAACTCTTTTTGAATTGAATCATTTTCCAGACACCACATAGACCTTTAAATTCCAAACTTCAACTTTCAACTTTCAAATTGACTACTTTATTTTCTCCATAAATTTTTTGATGATTATTTGAACAACTTCTCGTTTTTATACTAAACTTTCTCTTTTTACAATTCACATTTTATAAATTTTGCTTTTCAGTTGGCTGTAAATGAAGAAAGAATTCCTTTTCTTGTTTGTGGCTTCGCTAGCTCAAATTGTGACACCAAATGAAGGTCCGATTGAAGGTTTGTTTCGATCGATTACGTTGTTCTTTTTTTTGTTATCCAACTCGTCTACTGGCTGTTTTTTTAGAATGGAGGAAAGAGTGCAACAACCAGAGTGAAAAAATAGTCATTCATTCGGCTGATGGCAATTGGACAAACCTTTCGAGCGATTTGACGACTCAGTAAGCGTTGTTTGCGAAAGACTTTCCGGGCTTGGCCCGGTGAAAGCCTTAATGAGCTTGGATCCGATTAAGGCTTGCTCCAAGCCATAATCCGGTCCTTGCCTCAAGACTTTTGGATCCCCAGGGATCACCCCTCTCACTTTATCTTCATCTCTCAATTACAGTCAACAGTATGAGGTCTATCGAAAGTTCACGTGCACTGCTGATCCAGGCCATTTCGCGTTTGTTCAAGTAGGAGTTTCTTTTTCAGTTTATCCTCAAAAGTGTGTTTCAGATAAACGACCAGATGGATTCACCGTCAGACACAAAATCTATCGGTTGTGGAAAGGAGCGTAAATGGTTGCACAAAGGTGAAGTCGTTGTCGCTGTTGGATGCTATACGGGTCCACGGGTAAGTTGCTTTGCAAATAGGTTTAGTTAAAGGTATTAAAGGTAGCCAAGCATTTGAAAATTTTCTCGAGACAGCAAGCTTTTAGGAAAATTGGATCCAAAAGCCCGAAGAAGAGGAAAGGATTCGAAATTGGATGGGCGAGCATCACGGAGCTAAAGAGGATCAAAAGGATTGGACATGGGGCAGCACCCAGTATAAACAACAAGAGGAAATGCAGCGAATGGCTTCGGAAATCCAAAAACTTTTAGTTAACACCGATAATATGTAAGTTTTAGCTCACGATCAACGCGAAAAGGGTTCTTTTCCGTTATACATCCGCCAAATTTGAACCCTTCCATGAAAATGAGCAAGGAAAACCACAGAAAATCATTTTTTCTATGTTTTCTAAGGGTGAGATGGATTCATGTTTCGCTTACCGACAACCGAGGCAGATGCAATCTCGTTCTTTCGAGAACGCCGCATGTTGCTTCCTACTCGCGCATGCGCCAACCGTCACGTTATGAAGCTATTGCTCCATCAGAATCTCCAGTGCGGATGTGACAAAACGTCGTGCTGGACAGCGATCGACCTGCGTGTTGGCTCATGGATGGAGAGCACCAAAATTCCGTTTCTCACAACCCTACCATTATGGATGGACTCAACAGTGGGCCTCGATCAACTATTGTGCGAAAGAATTGGAGATGAATCAAAGAACCGCGGTCGACTTGAACAACTGGGATTCCTTGCGGGGAATATCAGGTGAACAAGCTGAGGAAAAATTGGAGAAACCGATCGAATCGTCGAAGTGAACGAGGCTCTCTTCTCGAAGCGAAAGGCGAATGTGGGCCAAATCTGACCGCAAGTGTGGATATTTAGAGAAAACCTTGTGGATATTTAGAGGAAACCTTTGCCGGGAAATGTTTTCTGGTCGAGGTGACCGATCCTATTGGAAGCGATGATTGAAGACATCGAGCCGGGAACCTAAATTGATTCCGATTATTGGAGAGGATGCAATACTGAACAGATGGAGGATGCGGCTTTACCCACGCTCATGTCAACAAGTACAACTTCCTAAATCCAGATGACGCCATTCACACGCAGACGATCGAGCGTCTAGGGGGAAAATGCAGAAACAAGAAGCATCGCGGCACGTTATTTCCTACCGAACTACCTCCCGAATGGATGGTTCGACGAGAAGTGGGACAGGACGATTTCTACGAATGGGTGTGGCAACAAATTGCTACGGCATAGATTCCTCATTGATTGATGCTCAGAGGTTGTTTTTGTGGATGTATAACCGAAAGGAACCGCGAAAGGTTTCTGAATAAAACTTTGTCTTGCAATGTCCTCTGTAATTTTCAGAGTCAGGAAGCAAGTCGCCGTTCTACCGGCGGACTATGTGAATGCTTTTCGGGAAACACAGGCCCTCTCAGAGGACAACTACTATATGAGAACGGCTTTCGTTGGCTTTGGAGACGATAACTCCGTGCTGGAATTTACGAACTATGTAATATTTGTGTTTCGTGGTGGCTTTCCGGACAGATCAAAGCCTGATGCAGAAGAAGGAATCAGGTCAGACGAGTATTTATTAGGCTGGCTAATAAGTAATGGCGGATTTGCTGGGAGCTGGCCTCAAACTAACCCAATCTACAATACTTTGTTTTAGCCGTTACTTTCAAGATGATTTCAATTCGACAGAACGACACGACGGGATCCAATTGCTAGCAGACCGTGCAGCGAGTTATGGTTATAAATGGGAAGGACGTATCGACATTGTGACTGTTTTTCGAAAAGGAGCAAATCACAAAACGTGCACTTATCTCTATGGAGCATCTGGTGATTGGATGATTTCTGAGGTGAAGACGTGGAGTCGGCCATGTGCAGCTGGATGTGGAGATGTTTGTGTTGTGCATTTAATGGCTTAATGTCGTGCAAATAAATGAACTCATGAAAAAGATTCCAAGTAACGCAAGAAAACAGGAAAAAAGAAATGCGGCCTTAAAATAAAATCCCTAAATTTTAAAATGACATTTTTATGTAGTTGACATTTTAAAATTGAACAACAGTTCGATTACATTCACGTCTTTACAATAGTTTTCAAATTCAAATAGTTTTTAAAATTTGATTTCATTAATTCGATTTAGATTAATTTAAAACTTTTTTAAGAACCACTTTAATCTCTTTAAGATCTTTAAGAACCACTTTAACTGAAGAGAGCCGGTTCCTTAATGTTCCTGATGATAATTTGGCAACATCTGCTTGTCATCTGCTATTCATTGCTAAAGTTGGTACCCCAATGTGTCCAGAACTATTAAAGCAAAAGCTCAGTAAACACAAGCACTTGCGGATGAAGCTCTCAGAAAAAAAGATCCCAATCACTATTTCAATTTGAACAAATTCCAGTCAAAATTTTCGTTGCTAACGAAGAAAAAGCCTTCCTTTATGAACTTTAGAGTATCTTTTCCCATCAACATCACCATCACGGTGATTTCGATTCATAAATACGACTCCTTATCCATAAACTTTGCGAAAATTCGCATGAAAGCTGAATTTTTTGAGCATGAAGAGCCACCGATTTCAATTGAGAATCATTCACAGGATCCGTTTAAGTTTTTGTTTTTGTTCTATTTTGTGTTGCTATAAAGTAACGAACATTATTTTTTTTTGTTTTATCGAGTTACATTCAAACCTTGTTCATGACTTGCCATCGTTATTCTCGATGTTTTTGCAAAAAGAAAACAAAAAGTCTTTTTGATAAAATAGTAGTCACAGTAAAGAATAAATGTTTAAAATCAAAAAAATAAAAGATTGTGTACGCAACAACTAAAAGAAAATCATTGTTAACGTGAAAAAAAATGATAGAATCCATTCTCTGATTTCTTTTGTCTTTATTCGGTACTTTTCGGTTATACATCCACACAGATTCATTTCGGTTAAGCAAGGAGCTGACGGTTAAGCAAGCTGTGAGCAGTGATGTTCCGGAGCAATCATTGTCGGTTTTCTCACTTCCACCATACTCATATGTAAGTTGTTTCTTTTTGTTACCGGATTTATCAACGTTAACTTTGAATATTTTAGTTTGCAAGAGAACTAACAAAACCTCTACGAAGCCGTTTTGCGGACAATTCGTCTCAAAATTTCGATCTGCACATAGAGGGGTCAAATTTTATTTTGCTTGAGTTTCACGTGAAGGATGTTATTAGAACTAAGAACTTTGTATTTGTTAATTCCTTTGTAATTTTAGGGTAGCAACCCATCTCTTGCAAAGCCAGAACGGTCGACTCGTGAAAATCAAAAGATTCTCCAATGCCGACCTCAAGCAAACCTCGCACAACGTTTGATTCTTGATTTTATTTTTGATATGAGAATTTAGAATGGGATTTGGCACCGAAAAGGGTTGAGGAAGAATTGAAAGAAGAGGTTGCTTATTACTTAAGTCTTCAAAAATGGCTCCTTTTTTAGAAAACTGATCTCAAATCGAGTGGAGAAATAAATCCTTTTATTTTTTGTTACCCAACTCGTCTCTTGGCTGTTTTTTAGAATGGATGAAAGAGTGCAAGAAGCAGAGTGAAAACATTCAAATTCATTCGGCTGGTGGCAACTGGAGAAACCTTACGAGCGATGAGACGTCTAAGTAAGCGTTGTTTCGTGAAAGATTTTCCGGGCTTGGCCCGTTGAAAGCCTTAATGAGCTTGAATCCGATTAAGGCTTGCTCCAAGCCATAATCCGGTCCTTGCCTCAAGGCTTTTTGATCGCCAGGGATAACCCCTTTCATTCTATCTTCATCTCTAAATTACAGTCAACAGTATGGGGTCTATCGAAAGTTCACGTGCACTGCTGATCCAAGCCATTTCGCGTTTGTTCGAGTAGGAGTTTCTTTTTCAGTTTATCCTCAAAACTGTGTTTCACATAAATAACATGATGGATTCACCGTCAGAGACAAAAACTATCACTTGTGGATCGAAGCGTAAATGGTTGCTACACGGTAAAGGTGAAGTCGTTGTCTCTGCGGGTGCTACACAGGCCCACGGGCAAGTTGCTTTGCAAATAGGTTTAGTTAAAGGTATTAAAGGTAGCCAAGCATTCGAAAATTTTCTCGAGACAGCAAGCTTTTAGGCAGATTGGGTCCAAAAGCCCGAAGAAGAGGAAAGGATTCGAAATTGGATGGCCGAGTATCACGGAGCCAAAGAGGATCAAAAGTATTGGACATGGGGCGGCACCCAGTATGACCAACAAGAGAAAATGCAGAGAATGGCTTCGAAAATCCATGAAATTTTGGATAAGACCGATATGTCTGTCTTAGCTCACGATCAAAGTGAAAAGGGTTCTTTGCCGTTATACATCCGCGAAAATAAACCCTCGATCATTTCGGTTATGGCATCTGGTGATTGGATGATTTCTGAGGTGAAGACGTGGAGTCGGCCATGTGCAGCTGGATGTGGAGATGTTTGTGTTGCGCATTTAACTGCTTGATGTCGTTTGAATGAATGAATTCATGAAAAAGATTCCAGGTGACGCAAGAAAACAGAAAAAAAGAGATGCGGCCTTAAAAAGGGTCCCTAAATTTTAAAATGCCTTTTTATGTAGTTGACATTTTAAAATTGAACAATAGTTGATTACATTCACATCTTTAAAATATTAGGTTGTCCGGAATGAAAATACCCTTTTAATGAAAAACAAATCTATCTCCACAAAAAGAAAAAAAGGCGCTGTAATCCAAAGATATTCTCCGTTGTTGGCAATAGTCTTTCTCCATTTTTCTTTCAAATCTCGGATCCCTTTGCTGAAGATTCCTTTGCTGAAGATTGCTGCGAGTCAAAGTATTGGCTTACCCAAATTCGGACTTCGTCGCGATCCTTGAAGTGTTTATCGGTCAGGAAGTGCTGCATAGATCGAAATAAGCGGTAGTCTAAGGGTGCCAGATCTGGACTATACGGCGGCTGCGGGAGACATTCTCAATTCAATTCCTCGAGTTTTTCTTGCGTCATCTTTGCTGTGTGTGAGCACGCGTAATTTTGCAGATATCTCACAGTCGATGCGTTTACACCTTGATTCTTGAGAGCCTGGTCTAAATGTTCCAACTGCTGCACATATACATCTGAGGTAACTGTTGGACGAGAATGTAGAACCTCAAATTGTATCAGACCACGGGAATTCCACCAAACAGATAACATGGCCTTTCTTCCATCCGGATCACGTTGTGGCTTCGTTTTTTGACTGTTCCCCTGGACTTAACCACTTCTGTTTTCGCGATGGGTTATCGTAGTAAATCCATTTTTCATCGGCCGTCACAATAGTGTCCAAAAAACCTCGACTTTTTGATTGACGAAGAAGAATACCGGCCATAGTCGCTCGAGTAGCTTTATTAGCGTCACTAAGTTGATGGGATACCCATTCTCCGACGAGATTCGCTTTACCCAAACGGTGTAAATGGTCCGCAATTGTTGTGTGGCCTACAGCAAACATTTTTGCAAGTTCCCGAGTCGACAAGGTTGGGTCATCTTCTATGGCTTCTCGAAGATCGTCATCGTGGAGGGAGTGACCACGTCCTCGATCCTGTAGAGTTTCGTCTCCCTCTCTAAATCGTTGAAACCATTTTTACAAGCTTTCTCAAAATAAGCAGCTTCTCCAAAAAATTTCAAGATTGAACTATGGCTCTCCCGGACACTTTTTCCTTGTTTAAAGTCGAAGAGCAAGCACACCCAAATTCGGTACTTCTGATCTTCCATTCGAAAAAAGTCAAAATTGTATGGCAGTCAATTTTTATAAAAGCATAGAGTTAGAAAAGATATCTAACTTTAAAACAAAACAAAAATCAGACGCGAAGCTGTTCGCTACACCAAAAAAATTGCAATCGAAGCTGAGGGTATTTTCATTCGGGACACCCTAATAGTTTTCTCAATTTGATTTCATTAATTCCTTCCATCCTTTAAAACTTGAAAAATGTCTCCAAATAACCAGCAAAATCACAAAACTACAAATGAAAATTTTTATGCTCCTTCTTTTGACTTCATGCTTGGTTGTTTCAATAGTTCCAAGAAGTCAAATGAGTAAATTTTGGTGGTTTTAAGTATCTATTAGGTTTGAAAGAAAGTTCTTGGAAAAAGGTTTGACTGGAATTTCCTAAAAACGAATCCACCAATTCAAGAACATTTTGTTCTATTATTTACAAGTCGACTCCAAGAAATGACTCGTAAAAAAAATGAGTGCATCTTTCCCATAAAATTTTAGAGATTTTGCAAAAATGATTATTTTCCAGTTTAAATTCAGCTCACTTTTTGCACCAGAAAAATGATTCCTTATGAGGTAAAGCTAGCATAAATGAGCCATACGCTCGATAATCTCTATTTTTGGTCAAAATTTTAACAGAGAAGCTTTTTCAAAAAATAATTTGGGTGTCACCTTCTTGGCACCGAGTGTTATAGGTGAGTCTGAAAAGTGAAAGCATTCGATCAAATTGGCCTTAATCACAAATTTTAAACAAACCTAATAATTCGGAAGGGATCTTTATCAGGTTAGAACCGCAAAGCTTCGTGTTACCCCACTTAGGTAACTGCTTAATTCAAAAGCTTAGCTCAAAATCTAAGTCTTTGATATTATTTTTGAATAAAGTATTTATTTTTAAAGCAAAAATATGGCAACTAACTCAGATACAGTTTGTCGTAAAAGCGCTAAAATTTTGTTTTCCATTAAATTCTTTATTAGCTAAATATTTATTAGGC